GATGACCTTGGGCAACCCATAGTTCTGATAAGAGCTGTTCTTGAAAAAATAACAGTTTCTGTCACGAGCTCTCTCAGCCCCATCTACCTCACAGGGTGTCTGTTGTGGGGAGGGGAAGGGAAGGAGTTTGTAAGCCGCTCTGAGACACCTTTGGGTAGTGAAGGGCGGGGTATAAATCCAATCTCTTCTTCTTCTTCTGCGGAGTGGGGGATGAAGCAGAAGGAGGCTGGGATGGGGGCAGAAAGAGAGAGAAAGAGTGATGAAGTGGGGAGGCAGAAAAACAAAGAAAAAGATGACAGGTCAGAAAGAGAGAGGAAGTCACATGCATGGAGGAGAAATAGAGAGTAAGAAAAGGGGGCAGAGGGGAGAAATAGTGTGAGACAGGGGGTGAGGAGAGGAAGCAAAGGTGTGATGAATGACATAACCATCCCACAAGTATCTTGCGGGTCTTCATGTGTGTTTATCTAATTCCCTCTTGAAGCTGTCCATGCTTGTAGCTGCCTCCTGTGTCAGTGAATTCCATGTGTTAATCACTCTCTGGGTGAAGAAGTACTTCCTTTTATCTGTTCTAACCCAACTGCTCAGAAATTTGATTGAGTGAGTTCTTGTATTGTGAAAAAGGGATTAGGCTGGCAACTGGCAGGAGACTTACCAGTCAGGTGAGGGACTTGGCCAGTGACATCACTTCCAGCATGACTGAAAATGACATTGATCACTGGTGAAGTTTTAGCTTTCAGCCAAAACTCTATGGTCAATGCAACCAGAAGTGATATCATTTCATTGCCAGTGATGGTCTAGCACTCAGTCAGCATTCTAAAGTGTCACCTGCTGGTGTGATTATACTACTTCTGTTTGCTCCGGAAGTGATGTTATCACATTGCCCATGATGCTGATCGGCCTCCAACACCCCCCCTTTTCTCCCGCCTCTCCACTGAATGGTAGCAGGAAAAGCCAGAGGGTATGGGAAGTCTCCTACTGCTGAAGCAAAATACCTCATGCTGAAGCAGAAGACCTGATCCCTCACTTAGTGGAAGAGAATTTTTGGGTCCAACCTGATATCCCTTAGCATTCAACACAATAAGGTACACGCTGTTGTGATTATGCTCCTAGAAATGCTTACTGTATTTTGATATGGATTTAGGAACTGAAAGACAGCCCAACAGAACTAGTGTTTCTAGCTTTATTTGTATGCAGTTGGGTGTGGCGGAGTGACAGTACCTTAAAGTTCTTACCAGTGCTGTCTCCCTTAGGAATCTTGATGCTGAAAATGGAAAGTACCATTTTGGCCACTTTCTTGCCAGTATTCCATATCAGCCCATACCCACTTATTTTCATCCTTGAGTTGTGGCCATATTTGGGTCTAGTCTATATATTACATGGTAATCACATCTTAACATACACAGGTAAACCTTGAAAGACTTTTTTTTCTTTCTCCATGCATTGACACAGAAAATGGAAATAATGCATTTCTGGCATCTGTTTTACCTCAAACAAACAAACAAACAAACCTGGTAAATCCCAGAAGTTCTTGCATTTGAAACTTTTTAAAGAATAATTTCTGCATTTGGCCAGGCACAAGAACTTTAACAGTTTGCCAGATGCATAAAACAAAATGCCACAAAAGAAAAGATTATATTAATAAAATTAATTATTTTTAAAGGATCTTTTGGGTGTGATACATACATTTGCAGATAACAATATGAGTGACCCTTACATTCCCTGGTATTTTTTCTTATTTTTCTTTCTTTTGGGGAGAGTGGATGTTATTTTTAATAACAGAGACCTTTAATTGCAGATGGAAGTTGAGTGCTAATTTGGCACATGTATGCATTGCCTTTATGGCTTACAACTATACAACAGAGCACCAAGAAAAATCTTTGCATCTGGTAGTGAGGTTTGTAACCATTCCTAGAAATTCACCTTAACTGAATTTATTGGTTCTTAATTTTTCTTTGA